AAAACTCTTGCCATTTAGGTGTTTGATTAGTGCCAGAGATTGCCTGGTGAACTTTTCTTGAGGTAGGCCACGATGCAGTCTTTGTAGCGCCGATTTAGAGTCCGTCAGCACTACAACATCTCGTGCAGAAAAGGATCGCAGTTTTCGCAAAGCTGCCGTAATTGCAGCGCTTTCTACCGTTGTGGACGAAAACACGCGATCCAGGCGGCCCGACCATGACACGCCCAGGCAGGGTATGCAGAAAGCCGCTGCGCAGCTATCCGTCTGTGTGCACACTGATCCGTCGGTGTACACTTGTAGGTGGCCGCGGTACATGGTGCTCAAGTGGTCCAGCGCAAAAAATTTTGCTTCCGCGGCTGGAATGGTGCGCTTCGCTGGTAGCTTGGGTACGCTGAAGTTGCACGCAACATCCACAAAAGACCATGGCGGGTCCGTAGGGCGCCGTTTAGGCAGTTTCAATCCTAAATAATAAAATGTGTTTAGTGCCGCGTTGAAATGTGAGCCAGTTCTTGCTCTTAGCCGCCGGAGAAGCGCCGTGCCTGCGAAGGACTCGCCCAGTCTTGACAGCTACGTCAATAAGGCCTGAGATGCCAAAAGGTGGAGCGGCAGAGACTCGGCTTCACTGGTGACCTTCGTGTTCGAAACCGCCCGAGGGACTCCCATCGCCAAGCGAAGGCCCTTTCTGTGCACTGCCTCTAGGCGTTCGAACTGGCTTAGTGATGGTGATATCAGGGGCAGCTGATAAATGATGCGACTTGTTATGAGCGCATCATTTAATTTAAGCATGGACATAGGATTGTTGCCCCAACGGACCCCTGCCATGCGACGAAGAGCGTTGATCCTTTGCACTGATGCAGTGACTATACCATCAACCGCACGTCGCCATAATAGCTTGTTGTCGATGGTAATGCCCAGGAAACGGACACTTGTTGCACAACGAATTGAGTGGCCTCGAATATTCAGCGACAGACGTGTTGACTTCCGTCGCGCTCCCGGGAAGAGCATGAAGGCCGATTTTTCCGCTGATAAAGATAGGCCGAGTGTCAACAAGTGATGCTCAATGATTGAAATAGTGCTCTGTGCTATCCGGACCAAACGTTTGTGCTGGTACCCTGAGATCCAAATGCAGATGTCATCGGCGTAGATGGATATTTTAACTGCCGAGTTTCGGGAAGGCTGGCCATGGCAGCGTTAAAAAGCAAGGGAGATAGAACACTTCCTTGTGGGACGCCGAGGGAAACGCGTCTCTCTTCGCTCATTACATTTCCAAGCTTAACACGGACACAACGGTCTCTGAGAAATTCATGTATGAACCGAAGAGCATTTCCCGACACACCCATGGCTTGGAGCCAGTTCACGATGCCTGCCTGAAGCACACAATCATATGCCTTGGCAACGTCCATGAAGACGGCGAGTGTCGAGAGTCCGCTGACACGGTGGTGCTCGATGTGGCTTAATAGGTCCAAAACACTGTCCTGGGCACTCAGTCGTGGGCGAAATCCGGTCATACACGATGGCCATCGTCTTCCTTGTTCAAGGTACCAAGTTAATCTTGTATATATTAATCTTTCCATCAGCTTAGATACGCATGATGTAAGAGATACCGGTCGATATGACGCGAAGCTCGCAGGATCCTTTCCGGACTTTAAGACTGGCACCACCCAAGCTGTCTTCCAAACAAATGGGATCTCTCCCGTGCTCCAGACATGATTAAATATGTCCAAAAGGGCCCTTTTTTCCTCATATGGTAGATTTGTCAGCGTTTGATTGCTGATCAAATCGGGACCCACGGCACAGCGTCTTCTTAATTTGCTAAGTGCCATATCCAGCTCTCGGAAGGTGAATGGCGTATCCATCGTGCGAAAAAACTGGGGTGACAGAGGAATGGCCGCTCCTGCTGATCTACCAGATATGTACACGTCTGCGAAATCCTCTGCAAGGGTTTGCAAATCTATCCCTTGTTTCAAAGCGAGTGCTTCGAATGGCCTGTGTGTTCGGATCTTCCCAGAAAGACTATTTATTACTGCCCATATCTTTGTCAAAGGCGTAAACGTTGATAAACTCTCACAGAAAGCGGCCCATTGATTTCGTCTTAATTTTTTTGTATGGCGACGAATCGCAGCGTTTATCCTGTTATATTCGGTTTTCGCAGACGGATTTCTTTTTGTTCTCATTAATTTCCGCTCCGCCCGTCTACGTGCTGCGCAGAGGTTCTTCAATTTCAAGTCAGGAGCAGGAAAATGGTCAGGCAGTTTCAGCAATGAAGTTGCTGATCGCTTGCCTTGCAACATATCTGCGAACAGCTCACCAGTGGATTTGTCCAACACTTCTCTCTAGGTGTCCCAGCGTGTTACATTGCAGAATTGTCGACCAAAAGTTCGAAATCCCTAGATATTGGTGAAGATGGAGAAATGGTCGCTGCCCATCTTGTCTGGAGCCGTGGTCGATGATACCAGAAGGTCCGTGGAGTGAAGTACAAGGTCTGTTGCACTCCATGAATCTGGTGGCCTGAAAAATGTAGAATTACCATCGTTCGCCACACATAAGTCGGCAGCATCCGCAGCTGCTAGAAGTTCCTTGCCTCGAAAATTGACACTCTTATCTCCCCAGAGTGGATGGTGCGCGTTAAAATCACCACAGATTATTCGAGGTGCGGGACATCGAGTGCAAAGGTCCTTTAGGAAAGTCTCCATAGAGACCTTTTTTCGTGGGCTTATGTACACCGATACCATACTCAGTTTTCGGTTTCCCAGGCACACTTGCACAGCAGTGACTACCAGTGAGTTGGAACAGAGGTCTTGCACTGGTAAGGCGACGTGAAGGATTTCCCGCCTTATATATATCATTGCGCTTCCATTTGCAAACGGCGTTATGCTCGGGTTGCCGTGTCGGGTGTACCCTGGGAGCGTTCTTGCATTCGGTAGACCGGCTTCGGAGAGGGCTAGAATCGGTATTGGAATGTCGCGCAGGAAAAGGTTGAGTTCGCACAGGAGTTTTAAAAGACCGGCGCAGTTCCATTGCATTATTAAGGGCACTTTTGAAGGACGAAATAGACCAAGTGGGCGAGACATTGCCATTATTCTACTGTGTGTTTGTGGAAGCAGAGCAAAGTAACACTGACTCTAGAGCCAGGACTGCTTCCAACATATCCTTCGTTGAACTCGCAGGCATCTTAGCGACCTGTGAACGTAGTGCGGTGAACAGAGCGCGAATAACGTGCTCGAGGTTTTCTTGCTGTTGGCTTCCAGATGGTACTTGACGTGGGCTCAGTGCATCAGCGTAGGTGCGCTTGGCGGACTCTTTCTTGATACATTTCTCACCAGCGTTGAGCACTTGCGTTGACTCAGTACCAGCTCTTGTCAGCTTTAGGCGCGGAAAATTTCCTGCGTACTCGTTATCCATGCTGTGGCGCGCCGGACGTCTTCTTTATGAGCGATGGTTCGTTCACAGTCTTTGGGCCGAGGACAAACGTCTTATTTCTTCGCTGCGTAGCTGTTCGTGCTGGACATCGGCCGTAGCTAGCTGGGTGGTCGCCGCCACAGTTTTTTCTTTACTTGTACACGTCTTAAAGTCATGAGGCCCCCCACAGCGCTTACACCTTTGTTCCCCACGACAGTGCTTAGCAACATGTCCAAAACGCTGACATTTAAAACAGCGTGGTGGCATCTCCACGTAGTCTACCAACTCGTGTCTGGTGAAGCCAAGGTTGATCTTCTCTGGGCGTTCCGAATTCGGAGCGAATGTGAGAACTACAGAGTCAGTGCGCCTTGATTCCCATTCGGTGGTTGAGGTTTGGACTCGTCGTATGATTCTTCTTGCGTGGTATACTCCCTGAGGTCTCAGGTAGGTTAACAGCTCTTCGTCCGAGTACCATCTTGGGACCCCTTTTATAATGCATGTATTTTTTATGTAGCTGTGTGGTACACGGGCAGATATGGCAAGGCCGCAGATAGTATTGGTCTATAGAAGCATATTAGCTTGGTGTTCTGTCTCTAAATTCTAGAGCAGGGCTCCCTGTGCTGTGAAACGGCTCTTAACTGGGGCTCCACCGAGAATCGTTTCAATTTCTGAGTATAGGTCAATAGGATTCACTTGCCTCAAGTTAGCTCCTTCGGATGTTGGAGCAATTACCACAGGAATGCCCACCGTCCTGTCTTTGCGATGTCGCACAAGGCGGAAACCACCCTCGTCCATGTCTTGATCTGTGAGGTTCGCCCCGTTGTGGTCCCCGACGACAGTTGATTCGTCCTCTGATGCAACGCTGTGTTGTTGCTTGCCGTCAGGTATGCTTGCGCCAGCCAGCTGGTGCTTCTGACCTGGTGTCACACCTTGGGAGGTTATGGTGGCTCTCTCCGATGCTTGTTTCGTTTCTTCTAGCACATTTCGACGCGGCGGGCTGCGCAGTACCCGTTGGTCGCCGATACGGCAGGTACCTTTTCGAGTCGTCCGACGTCTTGAGCAGTGCTGAGCCGTAATATAAACAAAAATAAACGATAAATGCAGACAGAGCTACTTAGCCAAGCAGCAACAGGTTCGTCGTCTTCTTCCTCTGTCTCTTAAAGCTATCGCTTTTGCGTTTCAAGTGTATATTCTCGCTGTCACTGGTACCAATACTGAATTGCCTGTGGCGCATACCCGCAAACTATGGGCTGCGGTGTGCGAGTGTGTGCCACGCGTTACAGGTAGAAAGAGTTTCACGATCTATGGAGCAGGATGTGCGTGTTATTCTCCTCATAACCTGTGAATCGTGTTCATCATATACTCGTGTCCTGCTCGGCCAGTATTAGCATATGCCAAGAGAACGTGGCCACAAGAGTGTCAAAATGTATGGGGACAGATATAGTTTAAGATAATGTAATGATTGATATGTGGGGTTTAACGTCCCAAAATATAAGGTAATGTAAAAAAAGGGCCAAGCGACTTTGTTTTACTAACAAATATTAGTTTATTTATTTATTATTTTCGCACAAAACACACACACACAAAACACGCTTTCCCACCTTTCAGGGTTGAACTGCAGAGGGTCAGGCCAGAAGCGTGGGTCCCTGTGGATCTGGTATAGCGGCACCATGAAGCACGTCGCGGCCTTGAACTGGGTACCCCTGTACGTGAAGTCTTCTTTGGCTTGCCTCGTCACGAAACTGCGCAATGTTCACGCACAAATTTGTATAGGTACGCATGTCGGTGGATCATTTTTAAAGCGTGCGCCCGCACTTCAGGAGCGAGTACTCTGGTGCCTCTGCTTCGTTTTACGATAGTCATATAAGAATCCTAAAGGAATAATCGCAGCAGAAAATTTGCCGCACAGTTCACGTCGCTTTCGAACGTCGAATAACCTCTACATGTTATTGCCTAGAAAACTGTATTGTGGTACGTTCGTAGGACTCGATTTAACAGTGCTGGCACAGTGCTGGCACAGTGCAAAGCACGCAAAGCAAGATTGCGCGACTTTATTTGCTCATTGAAAGTAAAACTCGACGCTTCATTTTTGATGATATTACTGGCCATTGGAAATACTAATACGGCGCAGGAGGTTTGCCCGAAAGTCCATTATACGAGATCTATTACGTTATCTATTTCGTTCGGGCAAGTTATTCCATCACGAAAGTTTCGCTGAATTTGTCGAAATGAGAAATGTTCGAGCTTGCGAGTTTGTATTGCGAAACTTCTGGTTCCTGATCAAACGTAGCAATGAAAAGAATTCCGCATTGATTGCGAATATTTCAACCACGGCAACGAATAATTTCGAAAGCCCATGGACAAAGAAATTTGGATTTTCTAGCGCAACGCTGCTCTGAAAGTACAGAATAAAGGAGAGTGAAGAGCTCATTTATTTATTTATTTATTTATTTATTTATATATTTATTATACCTCCTAGGCCCTCTGCAAATGATTGATTGATTGATTGATTGATTTGTGGGGTTTAACGTCCCAAAACCACCATATGATTATGAGAGACGCCGTAGTGGAGGGCTCCGGAAATTTTGACCACCTGGGGTTCTTTAACGTGCACCCAAATCTGAGCACACGGGCCTCGACATTTCCGCCTCCATCGAAAGGGCCCTCTGCAAAAGGCTTTGCTTGAGGATTTGGGCAAACAACATAAGGTTCATTACACAATGATTCTATGGCATACCTAATTTATTCGTGTTGGAATGATGGACAACACGAGGGCCTTTGATAAAAGCTGAGAGAAATTAAGAAAAGCTCACGTGAGACCAGGAGGGTAGAGTCGCACCGTTTCCTTGATTACTTGTTCCAGGTAAACCAAGTCTTCTTGTAACAGTCTCGAAGTCCAGTTTACCCTGCGCCAGAAACAAAATTACAACCAGAAATGCATTTTCTTACCGAGCGTGCTCTCTGATCCTGACAGTCGGAGTAAAATTGTCATGAACAACGTCAAGAACAAGTTTACGCTTCTTTTGGTGGAACGTGTTGATTACACGTACATGGTATGTGTCCCACCGTATATCTGAATTTAAAGGGACGTCCTATTTTTGAACCCTTCAAAAGCAGCGAATAAATGAATACCTAATATTTATTTCTTTACCTACTGATATTGTATCTAAGTTTCTTATTGGTGGTGATTATGTTATGCTCATATATGAAAAGTAATGTACTACTAGCACCTCTTAATTATTGCTAATCTGAATTTCTTGTGGCCAAAGTAGCCACAGCTTTGGCAAAAACTTGCGCATTTTGTATGTTTATTGTCCTTTTTTCTAATGAAGATATATTACTAAGGAAGCACTACTGAGCACGGCTATGACTGGCCTTTTTTTTTAATGCGATCTATACTTGTCGTTGAGGCTTAATATTTTTGTGCGTATATGTGTAATAATTGTGCGCCGTTCGGCCTTTGTTGTGTATGAAGTTAAGAGAGTGTAATCTGGAATGTTTTGTTCAAGTATGCAGCGCTCATAACTGGTCAACCACCTCCTATTGCGTTGACTCGCGTGCAATGCTTCATATTGAGGAAAAACGGTTCAGTTTCGCAGCAAGGACATTCAGTGCGATAACAACATATTGAAATGTTATAAGTAGTACAGAAAGTAGATAACTCCAGCAGCAGGGGCGAAGGCACATTTCTTTTTTTTTTTTTGAGGTGTGGAGGGAGCACCATCTGTAGATGAAGTCAAGGCTTCGACGGATGACCGTCTGGTTGGAAAGAAACAGTGAATAAAAAAGATAGGGATGCTCACCAGAACAAAATAAAATAAGAAGTATATATATATATATATATATATATATATATATATATATATATATATATATATATATATATATATATATATATATATATATATATATATATATATATATAGATATAGATATATATATATATATAATGTGAAGAAGGAAACGCATCGTTGGCAAGCAACATCGCCACCGCTTGGGTACTGGGTGCTGGGCTTCTCTCGCTCGGCTCGTGCTGATCATCGCCGGCATCTGCTTGACCGTTGCTCTTGACCGATCGTGTTTTATCGTAGGACCACCGTCGCAACAGTCGCCAATAAACCCTTTTTCAATAATGCCGCGAACCATGTATTGGGTTTGTTTATTTGTGTTTTGTTTTTTCGGCCTGGCTGCGCCGGCCTCTGCTATCGCCGTTTTCACAGCGCTTCGAACAAACGCCTCCACAGCGTTTCGAACAAACGCTATCGAACAACGCTTCAGGCGTTGTTCGATAGTGCCGCGAACCATGCATGGAAACAACGGTTCAAGCGTTGTTTGTTAGAAACGCTGTTCGAACGAACAGCGTTTCTAACAAACGCTATCACGGCGTTCCCTATACAATTCGACTATTCGAGAAACCCTCGCGCCGAGGGATATATATTCCCGCACAGCCGATGCCGCGTCATTCGATCGCCGACGCTCACTAGTGTGCCCGTCGTTTTTCTGGCTGCTGCTTCGCCGCCTGTGTATTTTTTCAGTTGTTAGGGGAGCACAGGTTCGCTCCAATAAACTTGTTTTCCTCATAGACAACTGCGTCGTCCTTTGCTGCGTGACAATATATATGAGATCTAACAGACAGTAATGCCAAGAAATGTACAGGGGAAGTTATTAAAACCAATGCAATGTAAATAAGAAGAAAGAGAAGTGGATGAAAAAGTAACCAGCCGTGAGCAGGAATCGAACCTACGACCTTCGAATAACGCGTTCGATGCTCTAACCACTGAGCTACCACAGCGGCCTTCCCTTCATCCACTTCTTTGGGTTTATATGTGAATTTAGAAGTACGAGTGACAGTCAGCGCCATCTATAAGCCAAGCGACGAGTGTGAAAACACTCTTTTTATGCGCATGCTTGGCGTCACGTAGCACGTGAACTTATTATGAGCGGGCAGCTGATTATAGTACCTCGTATACAACCTAAACACACCAAGTCTGCCAGTACGAGACCCTCGTTCAATGAAATAAGGGAAAGAAGTGTATACCTAAGGGCTCGTTTTTCCGTGTTTTACCACAATAATAATGAGATTTAACAGACAGTATTGCCAAGGTCGAAGGTCGTAGGTTCGATTCCTGCTCCCGGCTGGTTATTTTTTCATCCACTTTTCTTTCTTCTTATTTACATTCCATTGGTTCTAATAACTTCCTCTGTACATTCCTTGGCATTACTGTCTGTTAGATCTCATTAATATTGTGTAAACACGAAAAAACGAGCCCTTAGGTATACACTTTTTTCCCTTATTATATATATATATATATATATATATATATATATTGTGTTGAGTGAGACAGAGAACAAGAGACAACACCCGATCCTGGGCCAGCTGTTCTTATTCTGACTTCTTTCTTCTCTTCCTTGCTCTAGATATCCGCACGCCGTTGCCCCGGTGTCTTTCTTGGTCATGACACTCGGGCATGACTGCGCGCGCGCGGAGCTGGCGGCAAAGTTTCTGGCGGGCAGGCTTCGCTGCATCGTGGTGGTCAGTCCGGACCACAATGCAAGATGGAGCGACGGTCTGGGGAAAGCGTCTCTGGTGGACGGCACTGGCTGCCTCGTTGCGGCCGACGCTCTCGGCCATGCTGCGATGTGGTCCGGGTATCTGCCAGAAGTAGATCTGGTGGTCGATACTGGCTGCATTACGGAGGTCGGCCTCGACCACACTGGAACGGGGTGCCGGAGTCTGCCAAAAGTCTGTCGGGAGGTCGAGACTGGCTGCATCGTTGTGGTTGGTCTCGGCCATGCAGAGACTCTCTGTGGGAAGCGGCTAAATATGCAACTGACAGCGCGCTTCGGACGGGCCGCAAAATCAGCGGTGAAGCAAAACGCCGGTCGAGGGTTGCCGAAAACGTATCCCAAAAGACGCGCTAGGTGCCTTGGCTGGTGTCGATAGTGGGTACGCAACTTCTGTGATGTGTGGCAGAAAACATAATTCACGGCCGGTCTTGGCATCTGCGGCAGGACATTCTGTGAAGCTGTCATCGTATTGGCTGCGTCTGTGGGGTCCCTCTCGTGGACGCAATGACTCGCCTTGCAGGGCTGTCGAACACTCTGGTCGGTGACCATGGCTATCTCGTAGCGGTCGCAGCACGCTTAGCAGGCAATTCCGTTGGTACAGTTTGGGGCACTGGTCTTCATTGCTGTCGGCGTTCTGGACAGGCTGCGATGCCAATTGCTGAGGCTCGAGGGTGGTTTAATTGCCTGTTGTCAGACTAGAGGACTGGGATGAGACATCGAGCTGCCGCCCCAATTGAGCTCGATATATGGTAGTGGGCGCGTTGACGAAGGGTCCAGCTACCGTGTGCACCTCTGTATCTCCCCCCACGAAAGAGGACGGGGTGGCCGATGGCTCACACGAATTTGGGTCCGGTACCAGCGAAGAGTCTGGAAGCTCATGTGGAGAACTGGACTGCTCAGCTGGAGCCTCGAGATGGAACCCTTCTTGAACTCCATTCTCGGTACCGGCCAGGTTAGACTGGGTGGTGGAAAGGGGATCGGAGAGTGTCCGGCTGAAGGCAGCTATGAGCTTGGAGCTCCACTCCACCAAGGACTGCTGCTTGAAGCCTTCATACCGGTGCCACGCCGCTGCACCTTCTCGAAGATGGTCTACAACCATGGTTCATTTCTGAGATTCCGCCCAGGCCTCGCACATTGCTATCGCGTTGACGGTTGTCACCCAGCTGTCGGCGTCGTTCCGGACCCCGTGGAATTCCGGTAGTTCGCAGACGGCTGGTGATTGTGGGGTGGCAGGTGGCAACGCAGAGATCACCAACGCGACGCAGTCGAGCTGGTGTGAGAGCTCGATCAGAGAAGACTGAAGCTCCCTGCGTTGCTCCGGTGTGCTTGTCTCAAGGTCGTATGAGGCAGCTACATCCAACAGTGCGTTAATGTCACACAATGCTGGCAACATTGTAGGAGCTCGCTCAGTGATCAACGCTGTCAGTTTGTTAGTCTCGGCACGGAGCAGTGCGATGGTACGCCGCAGTTGCACGGCACTGTCACACGAGGCTTCTGAACCGCTTTGGTTCGGGTCCGTGAAGTACGTGGTTCTAATAGTACTCACGGCGGTGACATGCACGTCAAAAGAAGCATGAACAGCGTTTTTTGGTGGCTCGTATGTTGGAAGAGTACCGGATAGGGAACGCAGGCCGTGGGAAGCTTCAACAGCATTCCCAAAGGACAGGAGCCTGTGCGTATTACGGTCGCGAATTGGTGGCATAGTGTCCATTGGGTGATGCCCCTGTACCCCGGAGGAGGCATGGACACCGCCCACTGATGGTCCGATGGGCAGCTGAAGCAGTGGCCGTGTTGTTGACTCTATTGCCAAAGAAGCGTGAACGGCGTTCCTGGATGGAGAAGCCCGCACTGCCGACGAACGACGAAGACACGTATCGGTGGCTTCCCGCAGAGGGTTCACTTGTCGGCTAGCGCTGACGGCAGAATCCCTAGCCAGGACGCGTGGATGGCGTCCCTTGCGTACTGCAGCCGCCGAGGAGGCCTGGACGCCGTACGGTGGTGGCAGTGGCGGCAGGTGAACAGCTGCCGAGGAGGCCTTGAGGCCGTCCTCAAGCGGCGCTTATCACGGCTGTCCTGGATGACGAAGCCGGGAGGTAAGACTTCTTCTTCGTCGGCTGCGCCATTGTGATGAGTGAGACAGAGAACAAGAGACAACACTCGATCCTGGGCCAGCTGTTCTTATTCTGACTTCGTTCTTCTCTTCCTTGCTCTAGATATCCGCGCACCGGAGCCCCAGTGTCTGTCTTGGTCATGACAATATATATATATATATATATATATATATATATATATATATATATATATATATATATATATATATATATATATATATATATAT